GTGTGTGTGTGTGTGTGTGTGGTTGTGTGTGAAGAGGAAATCCTGCAGGACAAACGCAGACGCTGTTCTGTTATACGTCATGTCTCTACTATCTAAAATAACATTGGTAGGGCATTATGCTGGCTTGGTTCAGATCAGTGTAAACATGCAAAACCAGCCGAATGACGGCTCCTCTTCAAGCTATTGTAATTAGAGATAAAAATGTTCTCATGGTGCTTTTTGTTGATCAGTGAAAACAAGACTATTTAAATATACACACAAAAATGTATCATCCACCATTATTGTCACTGTTAAGCCATTACCAGACAAAAACTCATCAACACCCCAACTCGCTGTGAGTTTTCCAGACACTGTTCTGCTGTATTCTCACATGGGCTCATTCATACATATTTCACACATTTTACTAGGTGGCTGCCTGGCAGGAAATGTCCAGAGAATCTAACTCAGACATTTGCGTTCACAAAATGTCCTGGGATCATTGAATGCCTGAAAGCAGCTTAAGACACATGTCGGTAGAACACTGTGTAGACTGCAATATCTTTCATACATGCTACAGTTTCAGAGAGCATCAAGGTATTTTGGTGATTGGCCACTTGGCGTCAATCAAAGACCACCTACAAATCTTCTCCATATTTCACAAAAAAAAGGCATTCAGATTTAGTTTGCATATTATTTGAACTCTCTTCTACTTACTCAACTGATCATAAGATGAGTTGCATCAGCATCTAGGTGGAAAACTAACTCAGCTTAACAGTTACCTGAGGGAAACCCTCAAATCGTGTCCTCTACTTCTGACTGACAGATTCATGTTGGGATATTACATCATATTTAGTGAGAAGCAGTTTCCATTGGCTCAGTTACTCACCAAGCCCTCATGAAACCCCCGCTCCCCTTTCTATAGGTGCTCACTTTAGAGGAAGCTATAGTTTTCACATATCTTAGTCCAGAGCCTCCTTGATGACTCATAGGTAAAATGGAGGTCACAACTCCTGGAAGTGGAAGAATGGAGGGATAAAAAACTCTGCTCTCTTCTTCAGCTCGCTACCCTGCAAAACTTGTTTTGTACTGTAGCTGTGTTTGCCCAAAGTGGTATGAGGATAGCATGAGGACACCCAAAAGGGCCCATTTCACTGTGAAACAATGCAAGGAAATCCATGAAAGGCCAATCAGATAAGGTAGAAATAAATCAGCCAGTGCACCCGCGGGGTCTGCGTTTTAATTTGAGATCAAACAAAGAAACTATATTCAAAGAAAGCAACTGGGAGCTCATTTGCAAGATTGGTTTCACCTCTGCTTTCACTGTGACTGAAATACTTCCTCAAGTTGCTGTTTTACCTGTACAGCCTTATCATTTCTCGCTGGATGAATGCATTACCTAGTCAGGGGAATGACGCCACACAGGGACTCTGGACTTTTTTTTAGATCAAACACAAGTAAAGCAGGAATTGTAAGCAAATGTTTCCACACATAGCACAATGCTCAGGGTCTATGATGGATGGAGGAAACTTGTTCTCATCAGTGTGGCACTGCTAGCTGCTCTGTGTAATGTTCAAGGGTGGCAACTAATGAAAAGACAATCTCAAACATGTTAGGAATCAAAAGGACTGCTTAATCTAAATAAAAGGCAAAATAAGGGATGTTAATCTGCAAATAAAAATGATTACATGTATTACTAACAGACTGCCTATCTAAAACTTTTTATTATCAACTGACTAAGTAAATGAATAGTCAGCTGATTACCTGCAGTTGATACCTACTAATGCTAAACCATTTAGGAACTCTTTCAGTATCTGAGACATGAAAGGAAACTGTGAGGTAAAAGCAAACATTAGGTTTAAACCTCAAGTGTAAGCAGGTCAACTTAGTCTTTAAGCCTGAAAGCTCCAAGTCCAAAAACAGGAGCTCCATTCAGACAATAGGACAATGGAAAAGTTGAGGCCACTATTCAGACTCGCCTGGGTTTTTTTTAGGAAAAGAAAAGAAAAAAATCAAGCCCTTGCCATCTCAGCCTACAACCTGACACCCGGCCGTCTTACCCCACAGCTGGCTGGCAGAATGCTGGCCACAGCCTGGTGCTCTGCTGCAACCAGAAATAGCAACACAGGCTAATAAACGTAGATCCTACAAATGCATCCTTTGCATGAGATGCAAACACGTCCCACGCCATGTCCAACTGTAGGTAACGCTTCGCACATGAGGTCAATGTTAATGGTCATTCCTGAGCCGGACAGTTAAAAGATTATTCTGGGATGCTGCAATGTAACCGAAGATGAACAATTGATAAACTACTATAGCACTGTTTGCTGCGTTGAGTTGATCTGGTTCCACTCCATTTAAACCACAACAGTTATATATGTTGTTAAGCTGGTTTGGTGTACCCTGGCTAAACATAGACACATCTTTCAATAGTGAAAACATGACTTCCAGATGTATTTTTTTTTAAGTTTCGAAATATGCAAACTTGACAACAATCGTTAGAACATAACACAAGTCCGGGCTTGAGTAATTTATCATCTGTCACTGACAAACATAATCCTGACCGACCAAACTGTCACTGTCGGTCAGATTTTGCTACTCGTTAACTACTGAGCACGTCAGCTGAAACTGACAGGTAGGTGAAAACAAACAGATGGTGTTAACTTCACATACATTTTCTCTTTCAACACTAAACAAAGATCCATAGAGGGACAAGTACTTCAGATTAGTTCATACTATAAATACTAACTGTAAGAATTGCAAATTTAGTGAAAGGTCTCATTTATATCTTACCATAAAAAAGAAGTAAATGAATTATGCTCTTTGCACTTAAATAGATATGGTAGTCAGGAAGGTCATCTGTTTATTGTGATAAGGACTGAATTAATGTGCTCAAACTCAGGAGTAAACTGGTGGATCTAGCCTACCCCCCTGTTTCCATTACTGTTTTCAGAAAATATAATATGGGCTGGTATGGCAATTTAATTTCATAAACCCAACCCCAGGTCATCCATCCACGTTACTAATAACGCAATGGCGCAAACACTTATGGTGAGTGAATAGAATAAATGCTAATGCTTATGATTAAAGCAGCAGCAGCAGTGACATGACTGCAGGTCCTCACCACCTGTTGCTTCAGGGATCAGTCTGCACCAGCTCTGGGAAACATAATTAATATAAAATACTACATTTTCAACGAGGTGTCAGCTTTGTTATCAGCTGTACCCTCATCCCTGCTCTCCATTGAGAAGAGTACCAGAGCGGGTGATCTACATTTTGGAGGATATCGCTGCAGCCAAGCTTCACTGCACTTTTAATCAAGATGAAAGTTGCGGATGATCTGAAACACTTGCACAATATATTTGGATCTATTTCAAGTGTGACGTCACTCAAGTGAAACCATATTAATCAATGAGTCATTACTGCACATAGACACTAATAGAACCTGACTGTGAGGCTGACTTCAACCTGTACTCCATTGTGACGGGCAAACTTGTGCATGTGGATTTTATAAAAGACATTTTCTGAGTATCCTACTTTGTTGGTGGCATGTTTTGAACTTCATCCGGTTTGAGGCTTGTTTGAAAAAAACTTTACGTCAAGACAACAAGCTAACATAACAACATGATTTGTTAGTTTCATTAGATATCACCGAGGCAGGTTATAAAACTAAAGAATAGTCGCGTGTGTGTGTGTGTGTGTGTGTGAATACGCGGAAGACTGTTTATTTATTTCCCAGCAGTAACGCAGGTTAACTTTACGTTAGGCTACAGAAGTTTAAGAAGCTTCATTTAACGTGAATTAAAACAAACCGTGAAGTTAAACACTTTCCCTACAATGGCCGCTACCTCCATTAAAACACCGCAGCCTCCGCACAACAGCACCGGACATAAACTTCAGATATTTCAGCAGAAGTTAACTTTTCATAATTGTTTCCCAGGCCTCGATCCATGGATGATTCCCAGACAAGCCTGTGGGATCCCAGCACAGGCCCCTTCACTTCAACACAACACCGCACACCCGCAGCGACTCGACTTTAATGGAGTTCAAAAAAAGTGTTTGCTAACTTCTAAGGAGCAAGTTCGGGAGAAGTTTGCGCACTTTTCCGCAGCCGTTGTCAACTTTTCCTACCTGCACGGAGTCGGCGGCCATCTTGGTTTTCGCCTTTGAATCAAATCCTACGGGGAGAGAGAGGAGGGGAGCGGAGGCAGGAGCTCCGAAAACAAGCCTCGTTTTAAAGTTTCCCTCTCCGGCGGCTCGAAGACGGGGTTACTTCCACCAAAGCGTCGCTCGTCGCGGATACTCGGGGCTTCCCATGTCGTCTTCACGCTTCTCTGACGCGGCCGCACAGTCCCTGAGGGGTCCTGGAGGGTGGACTGGCGGTCATAAATAAAATTTAAAAAAAAAAGAAAAGCTGAGGCATAAATCTGTCCCAGTGCAGTTGGAGAAAGAGGCGGTGGTTACAGTGGAGGTGTCCGCCCAGAGGAGCTGCAGGCTCACAGCTGCTCCTGCTGCTCGGTGCTGGGACACTTCGCTCCAACAACACATGTGACTGCAAACCTCTGCTCACAGGCTCATACTAACAACATGGAATCCTCCTGACATGTACCACAGCTCCCACCTACAGTGCGATCAGAGCATTCAAGCTTCCATTGTGTTCAATGGCCTCCTGCTAGATCAACGACTTCTAATAACAAGTTAAAGTGCAGCATCACAATCTGTAATACCAGCAATCGCTATTTTATATATGTAAAATCTTAGTTTTCAAATTGACATGAAACTATACTTCAGATAATAACATAAATTAATGCACTCATGTAAAAAGTACAAATATAAAGCGTATGGATCTCACAATTGTACTTAAATACAATACATATGTAAATATCTTCCCATGCTTTTGTTGGTTTATTATTATTACAGATGCATACATGCTGCTGCCCCCCTACAATGTTATAAGGACCCCTTCAGTACCCCTTCAGATTCTCTTCATAGTTAGATTCTATTTTATTCTCTTCTTATGGAAAACTGTTGGTAGAGGAGGAACAGTATTTCTGTTTTGATTGTACGCTTGTGCATGAGAAAGATGACAATAAAGAAAAATGTTGAGAATATACATAAGTATATATAACTTCCATATGGTTCAGAGAATATAAAAAGAACATTTGAAATCAAAGCAGCCAAGGCCCGAAATGTCCTGAGTGCCAAGATCCTACATTTCCCATAAACCACCTGGTAAATGCTCAGCACCTTACCAACTCAGTGCTTCCAGCTTGTAACATAGAGTTTCTGTTATAATATATATATATATATATATATATATATATATATATATATTATCAGTTGGTTTAATCTAACAAACCACAGATGTCAATGTGCAACTGTTTTACAGGCTGAGCATAAGCAGATGGAAGACACATCTCATTCCCCACTTCTTCACACTATCCAGATATGAAGCTGAAATATCCCTCTTGCACATTTGGAGCCATGCAGAGTCTGCACAGTAGTGATTATTGGAAGGAGCTGTGGTAGCGAAGTCCAATCATGAGTCAGTCTCAGCTGTCAACCATGTTTTAATAACATCAAAAACCTAATTAAAACCAAACTTACCAGAAAGTGAGCACTTGGACATAAAGCAGTGTGATAAGAATGACTTAAAATGACAGAAACCAGCTTTAAGAAAAATTATTTGACTTTGACTTTTTTGTTTGGTCCATCTACCATGCATTAAAATAGAGGAGGTGGGATTTATGACCTAAACTGTAGCCAGAGAAGTTTTAGCTTCACTTTTGGAGAGCTGTCATGTCGCCCATCTTTATTTATGGTAGAAGGTCAGGTCTATAAAGATCCTTTTAATTTTGTAGCTGATCATTCAAAATTACTCATTTATTCTGCTCTGACAACTTCAGCTGTGAAACTTATGCATTGGAGAAATATAAACCAGCATAAAGTAGAAAAATTTAAATGAAGCACACATATGTTAAAACTAGGTACACCTCACGAAGACGTTCAACAATTGAGTAGCCTACTGATCATTCAGCTGTATTAGAGACGGTCTGTCAAATCAGAAGTATCATGCAGACGCTGTGAAAACTTGGTGACAAGCAGAACTGCACAGCAAACACGTTACGCTGCCACTCTAAATAGAAGAGTTGACTTTGAGTTGCCAATCCAGGCAAATCAGGAGGGAGGAGCTGTGTTCTGAAGAAACAACAGGGCAAACACTTCTCCAGTGGGACTTGTACACAACATGTCACATCTGAGTTATATAACCCACATGGTCATGTCTCAGATATTTATCGGTGTGGACGACAACACTTGTTCCACATTCCTAAACTGAGCATTGTACACTTGAGAGTGGCAGAGGCCTTGTTGAGTAACATTAATGCTCCTGTTTAAATCCAAGGAGAACCACTTTGTATTTCTGTCCCCAAGGTGACACACTCCAGAGACTGACAGAGGACAGGTGCTCCAGTCACAATGTTATGGTGCTGAGTTTCATCAGTATAGTCTGTCAACAATATTCACACTGTACTGGATGAGTGTAGTTGTGTGGGAAGAAGTCATGGAGAAGCTCTGTTAATATCTGACTTTATCAGAGACATTCACATCAGTGTTATCTTTCTCTTTTCCCTGTTCTATTTCAGTTAAGTAAACACTATATTGATCTGTGGGTATATAGACAATAGACACACTAAGCTACTTGATGACATGTTTTAGCACAAATAAAAATACTATTCACTGGACATTTTGTGTCTGATACCATATCACAAGAAAGATTAATTATCTTATAATTAATCAGAAATGGCTTGAAAATGATCTGTGATATGACAGCATCAGAAACACATTGAACACCTTCAGCATACAAGCAAAGAAAGCTGCAGCAGATGAATGTGAAAGTGTCAAAGTCAAATTCATCATTCTGTACAGTCAAGGACTAACATTTCTGAGTGGGTGATGTGGGGTTTAGCCGAATTTAACCAGATCTAAGGCTGAACAACTCAGGAATCCACAGGAGTGGTTGTTTACTGTGTAAGTACTTCAATACTAAAAAAGGATCATATAAATTTGTTCCCAGGTAGTTTTACACATTCAGAGGGTGGATGCAGATTGTGCTGGGAAATCATTTTGGCAGTTTACTAACTGACATTATACCTTTCAGAATAAGAGCTAATTATACGAATATTTAATGGAAGCCACATATTGTTAAATAACCCCCTAGAAAGTATAATCATAAATACAATTTTAAATGTGGGGTTTTGCATGTTCAGACAGTTTTCTGTAGGAGCCATGTTGGATGTTCCCTGTTATTACCTCATAAAAGGCCTCAGGGGGGTTAATGCTCAATCCTAAACCCTAATGTCAGACTTTAAAAAGGAGGCCTATAACTGAGGATCAAGAGGAGAGTGAATCCCTCCATGTTTATCTGGGTCAGAGGGCCAAAACCAGGAAGCTGTGACTGGAAAATGGTTTGGAGATTAATGGGGATGAGTCCAGTAGCTGATGGCTGTCTGGGGATTATGTGAGAGTGGTGATAAGTAACACTGACTGGCACCAATGACTCATACAAACTTTCTCTGGCCTCTGGTGACTCCTCTCACTTCACCTCACTGTACTCCTCCATGTATCTTCCTCAGGGGCAACATATTGACGAGCACAACAGGAGAACGTGTTGATAATATATCTTTTCGAGTGGCTAAGATATATGAAAACCTTTTAATAATTTATAAAAATTTACGCAAATACACACATGGCTCTGTAATCACTGTATCAAACAGTGAAAAGATGCTGTGGAAGGATGCGGAGAGGAAAGGATGTGAAAATGGATAAAAGCTCAGTCAGAGGTAGCAGGACCTGGCAGCTCTTTATCTCCCTCTGCAGGATGCCAGCCCTGAAATAATCCATCTTTAATTCTCACTGAAGCAGCTTTATCTGATTTTACCATTCCCTGCTCCCTTCTACCTGGTGATGATGATGACGCACAAACATCTGCATTTAGTTAAGAAACACACACGCTCCAGTGACAGATTTTCTTTCAATGTTTTGTATATTTGTTTGGCAATCAATGGATGACAACAGCCATGGCAGCCATGTTTTTTTATGTTCCATCCAACAAAGCTGCAACACAAGTAGAATTGGGCATAGAGAAGGCACACGACTGAGCAGTAAACTACAGTATAATCCACAGTATGTCCTCAGAGGAAACTGAGGATCTATTCATCGGTTTGTGAAAATACGGTGGTGAAAGTCAGTGCAGCTCCTCCACATGAAGAAATACTTCTGCCTTTACACCATCCAACATTAATGATCAGACAGGTAACTTTTTCCATTGTTATTGTGAGACAAGGGTCATAAAATTAAAAAATAATCCCAATCTTGAAAAACAAATGATGATGATTTTCATCAAGATTCATTATTTTTTCTCAAAGAAGGGAAGAATTAAATAAATTAATACACCCTAACTCTTAATGTTAAAGTAAAAAAAAATCTTTGATCCACCCGCTGATCTGGATCTGTACCAAAATGTTATGGGTTCTTCTCCAACCTATACCACATTACTCCACCAAGTGTCGTGGACGGATGTTTCTGTGTAACACTGTTAACTAACAGCCAAACAAACAAATGGACAGGAGCGAAATCTTAACCTCCCTGGCTTAGGTATTAATGCTGCAGGCTGTTAGCTCAGCTTAACAGTTAATGCGTATAACGTTGTACTCAAAATACTGATATGAGAACTTTGCATATCACTCATAGCAAGAAAGCAAATAAATATCTTTCATCATTATAACTAATCCTTTAAGCAGCAGAGAATTATATTCGTGGAAAACCATGTTTGTCTGGTTTTACAATAAAAGGAAAAAACAATCAAAATGCTAACAAAAAGTGAAATGGAGGAGCTGAAAGACATTTACATTCCGATAATATGTGTTTGAAGTACAAAAAAAAAGGTTAATATGGTAGTGTGAGCAATCAACTTGGAAATTAAACTGTAGTAAATATTTACAGCAGCAGCATCTTCAACTTTGTGTTCTTACACACGTCAATAATATCAAGTGGAAAAGCTTCCAACTAACCCAGAAAAAGGTTCTGGGGAAACATTGACAACACAACAAGAGTCATCTAACAAAACACACACTTGCCTCAGTAAGTAGTCCATGGTCACAGGATTTTTATTTCATAAAAACCTCAAAAGTTCTCATTCAAGTCCAATAATACAGCACAGTAGTCCATTTCTTACACTGAAAATCTCTTTAAGTTAGTAGTGGTGGTGGTGATGAGGCATGAGGATGAGGGTTCACCTTGAAAAATGTCTTTACATACAAAAAACGACCATAGTAAAGTGTTAAAATACAACTAAACACAGCAGAGCCAATGAAAATGTTCATCAGGATCAGAGAGTGGTGAAGGCAAACGTAGTCGACATCCGATCAGCTGTGCGCGGGAACATTCCCCCCGACCACGTGCCAGCAGAAGCCCCTCTGCTCAGATGACCTTTGACATGGAAGTGAAAGGGATTGGAGGCCCGCGGGCTTCTGGGAACACGACCTGCTGACGAGACGCAAGCTCTTCATCCAGTTTGCTGGCA